AGAAACTCTTATGGAGAAAGGGACCAGACATCTTCACCAACTGCTACTCACACGGCAGGCAGTCAAGCCAGCCTAGCTGAAGCAGCAAGTTAATCAAAGTCAATAAATACTTTTAAGTGTCTGCAATGTGCCAGGCTCTGTGCTAAGCCCTAAAGACAAAATGAATAAATTAATAAAAGAGGCAAAAGAAAGGGTCCACCCCTCAAGGAGCTCACAATCTAATGGAAGAGACAACATAGAAATAACTATATACAAATAAGTTATATACAGGGTAGACTGGAAATTATCAATAGAGAGAAGACACCAGAATTAAAAGGGACCAGGAAAGACTCTTTTTTTGTTGTTTTTGCAGAAAGTGGGATTTTAGCTAGGACTTGAAGGAAGCCAAAGAAGCAAGGCAGTGGAGAAGAAGAGCATTCCATGCATAGAGAAGAGCCAGAGAAAACGCCTGGAGTTGGGAGATGGAGTGTCTTTTTTGAGGAACAGCAAGGAGGCCAGTGTCACTGGATAGCAAAGCATATGGGGGGAGAGGGAAGGTGAAAAGAAGACTAAAAAGGTGGCTGTGGTGGGAGCAGGGGTGAGGATGCTTACAAAAGGCTTTGAATGCCAAAAGGAGGATTTTTAATTTTATCCAGGCAGTCAGAGAGAATCACTGGAGTTTACTGACTAGGGGGTAACATAAACCTGTGCTTTTTCTGGGAACCCTGAAGGAGAAATAGGAGGTAGCATGTGACAGGCAAAACAAATCACCACAGCCACCTTGACCAGTATCTTTCCCTCAGATACTGATGGAGAAAGTCTAGGACCCTGAACCTAAGAGCCTGAGGAATGGCAATGCTTCCAGAGCAGTAGCCTCAGCAATCACCCTGGGAAGCAGCCCTTGTGGAGATGCAGCTCGACACTTGCTCCTGCAGGTGTTATACTCACAGCTACTTGAGCCCCAGAAAAGAAAGCTCTTGTCACCAGAGTCCTTGGTACTGTCAAATAGTTTGACATCAGACACTAATTGATAGAATTTTATCAGTGGAGAGGATAGTTAAAAAAAAAAAAAGCACCATTACCATGTGTTTGGCCCCTGCATCCCAAGGGCATGGAACCTTTCCATCTCACTTGTGACTGAAACCCCCAGATATGTTGTCTCCCCCATTAGATGAGTAGATGAGCAGAGGTCATCTTACTTCTATTGTATCTCCTATGCTTAACACAGTGCTTTGCTCATAATAATTGCTAAATAAATGCTGAATTTCCAAGCCTGTATTATTGAGGCATATTTTAATTAAATCCAATGTCTAAGTAAAGTTAAATGTGTTGGCCTTTGCATGTGATACAATGTTACAATCTTCCTGATAATTTAGTTTCAAAGATTATCTAATATTAAATCTTTATGTTTATAGCCACATAATGCTCATTTTAAATTCCTTAAAAATTATTCAGTCACTTTTGTCTCAGGAGTCAGAAAAGCTGGATTATGATCTTGGCTCTAGCCAGTCACATGACTATGGGCCACTCACCTAAACTCTCTGGCCTTCAGGTGCCTCATCTTCAGAAATTCAGAAAACAGCTTCTCTGCCTAGCTCATGGAGTTGTTGTATGAATCAAATGAGATAATTTATATAAAACCACATTGCAGACTACACCACCCTGCATAAGAACAAGTTATTATTATAACATTTAAACAGCCAATGATCTAGCTATTTGGAAAAACAAGGAATTATCAAACAAGAAATTATCTGTTTTGTTACTTATGAAAAATGAAGGCAGATTAGAATACAGGATAAATTGAGATCAGAGAGTAGCTAGTTTTCAAAACACTGTGATATTTTATATACATTATTTCATTGACTTTCACAAATGACTCTCAAAAGTAGGCAGGAAGGATTTCTTTGATCAATTCAAATTTAGAACAAATTCTTCCACAGAGTTTATTGTCTGATACAGAGAAATTTTAGACATTTTCACTATATTGGGGGAAAGTGATAAGAGGAACCTTTGATCAGACGATGACAGGACATAAGAAGGCGATCACAGAGAAAAGAACGGTAAGGGAGCACCCCCTTCCAGACTTGAAATAGTCCACGTGCATATAAAAAGACCAGGGAACTCAGCTCAGGACTGGCAAAGGCAATGGACTACTACCCTTTTCTCCACTCACTCACTTATGAAGGTGAACTGGAGGGACTGAGAGTTTAAATGTGGTAGGGCTAAGCATGCTAAGAAATGAGCTGCAAATGGTTCAGACAGCCAGCTTTAAAGAGCAATTCTAGCTGAGTACAGTAAAGGAAGAGGAGATAAGACAGGCGTGGAAGAAGAACTTGGCCCTCAAAAGTTTGTTCTCTTTTTGCCATGCACTTGGAGAGTACAAAAAAGGAGACAGGAATTTTCTTTCCTTCTTCCTCCCCCCACCCCTCTATGTCAAACTGATGGCCTGCTCCTGAGTGCTGCTGAACCAGATTAAAATGTAATTGGGAAATATTTAACAAAATAAAAAGACACAAAACACAGGTAACATGACATTTTAAAACTTAGTCAATATGTAGCCCACAGGAGTACAGTTTAGTGGCCCCATTTCTATTTGAATTTGACACCATTGAGTCAAGCAGTCACTGAAATGAGAGAGCAGAGGAGTACCCTGCTACTTGGGAGACAAACTCACAGCTGAGGCTCTAAGGCAGAGGTTCCCAAGCTTATTTGGCCTACCTCCCCTTTTTAAAAAAAAATTACTCAGCACTCCCCTGAAATCTACTTTCTTTAACCCTTAAACAGTTTTTTTTTTTTGAAATTTACATCATTTCAATAAATATAAAATATATATATACATATTTTAAATAATGCATCTTAAATTTAATATTTCATGTAAATTTATGGTTTTTTCCTGCATTGAAATTTTTATGCTCCTAGGGGGCTCTAAGGCATAGGTTCCTAAAGTGGGCAATATTGGCCCCTAGGAGTGCCAGAACTATGGGGGTTGGGAGCAGTAGTAGCCTCGGTTGCAATTGGGAGGTGTTGAAAAAAAAATAAGAGGGTGGTAGAAATATAAGGAAAGAAGAGAAGAAAATTTTGAAAAACCATTGGTACATGTTTCATTCATTGTACAACAGAATTAAAGTTCCAGTGATTACATTATTTTCCAAATAAACATACAAAATGCAAGTTATAATGAATCAGTGGGCAAGTCCACCAAAAGGTCTTAACAAGCAAGTGTTGGCAGGAAAGCCTGTCTTGCATTGTGGGGAAGTCCAGCATGCATAGGCAGGAATATGTGCATGTAATGACTTGTTTATAATACGATACCATACAGTTACATGATGCAATATTGCATCATCAAAATTTCAATGCAGGGGAAAAAACCCACAAATTTACGATAAATTATTAAATTTAAGATGCATCATTTAAAAATGGGTTTTTTTTGAAATTATGCAAATTTCAAAAACAAAAGTAGATTTTGGGGGCAGGGCACTGAGTAATTTTTTTAAAGGGGGTGGTAGGTCAAATAAGTTTGGGAACCTCTGCTCTAAGGGAATGAAATTGGAGAGGTTCCTCCTGATCCTAGCGTGTAGAGGGTTCTTATTCTTTTCAAAAGTACATAGCAGCAGCTGAGTACAAGGGAGTCAAATGGTGAAACAAGATCTAATAGTGCAGTATTGGCAGGGGCCAGGAGAGCTCCTTCTAATGGGGGTGGCAAGACCAAAGTAGGTGTTCATAGACTTCAGTGGCCCTGAAGTCCTACCAACAGTAGAGGCATGAATTGCCCATTCTTGCACATGCCTTGGCCACATGTTTTACCTGTGTAAATGTCTGTCAGTTTGTAAACTCTATGTGCCCACTCTCTCCTCTAAGATGTATGTGTCTTTGGGAAGAATGTGTTCCAGTTTAATAGGAGGATCTTAAGCTGCTACTAGTGTTACAAAACAAAGGCTTTTTTTAGTAAATGTCTCTGTTTTGAGACAGCTATGTCCCCTGACTTGCTTAAAAAAAAAAAAAGCAAACACATTGGTGGGAGCTCATGAGTCAGGGTTTTAGTAATGCAGACTCATGCTACTTGAACCTGGAATAGTTGTCTCCCAAGGAATCCAACCTGCAAGGCTGAGTGCAGAGGGAAAGCCTAGATAGGTTCTAAAATGTTGAAAAGTGTCTATGTATATCACATGAGGCCAGTAGCAGCCTGGCCATGCCAGTACTAGGTCTGCTTAGTCAGGTTACTTGGGAAGATAGCCCATAACATGCAATAAATTCTATCTAAGGCTAAATACCAGCATAAGACCAAAGGCCAACACATATTATAAGGGAAAGCTCTAAAAAACTTTAAAAAAAACCTCAAAGGAGGTAAGGGAAAAGATAAAGAAAAAACTTTTCTCAAGAACTGAATTCTTCCTCCACACCTGGCTCTCTTCCTCCCTGACTCTGACACTAGATTCTTAGCAGGGCTGGCTTCTCCAGTTTTCACATATTAGTATTTCTAGTTTTCCCAAATCAGTGCCTGTAAAGAAAACTGAGAAGAAATTTGCCATTTCCCAATGAAATCAACTGTTCTTTCCTCCTCCAATTCAATTTTGGGCTCAATGTGGTGTGTGTCCATTTACAGTGTCCATCCAGGACACATACACATACACACACACACACACACACACACACACACACACAGATGACTAAGCTCTAGAGGTTATTCATCTAACTGTACACCAGATCTTTACATATTTCTGGGCAGGGAGGAATATGAGGGAGTGTGGCAAGATGAACAAACATAGTAATCCCCTCTATAAATACAGTAAGCCATCCAGCATAAAGACCACAAATATGAAGGAAGAAAAGTGTGGATAATATCATTTAAAACAAAAAACAGAAACAAAGCACTGATGGCTATGTTCAGGTAAGCCTAAAACAATATTAAAAGCCTTATCAAATTTAAAAACCAAAATGTGGGAAATCAAAGCATGACATTACTTTGTTTAAAAAATACCAATCTGTCTATTTTTCCTTAAAAGTCTGTTCAGTTAACCTACCTCAGATTTAAGTAGGTTAGCATCTGCAAGTTGACGATGGCCTCCGGAATAACTTTGATACAATTGTGATACAGATTTAGTATCTCTAGAGATACAAAATGGCACAATTCCATGGGAACTTCAATCAATCTGTTCTTGGAGAGATCTAAAAGAAAAAGAAAAGAAAATTTGTATTGGTGAGTCTGCAACAATAATCGATACAACCTTTTCTTATTTGGCATACTTTCCTAGTTAAAGAAAAACAGTTCTTAAAAAAAAAAAAGTAGACAGTATATTCACGTGTATGGCAACCTGCATTGCCTACGGCACCTTCCGTAGCAATGAAACGGCATACATTCTAACAATATACAAAGCTTTTTGTTCACCCTCTGTACAAATTTGTAAATTGAAAGCAACAGTAATAATATCTGACATTTATATAGTGTTTTAACATATTATCTCATCTGAGTCTCACAACAACCCTGTGAGGTTAAAGTCTTATTATCCCTATTTCATACAACAAATATTATTATTCCCATTTGATGGTTAAGGAAACTGAAGCCCAAACAGATTAAATGACTGTCCCATGTGAGATTCAATCCCAAGTCTTCCTCACTTCAAGTTCAGCACTCTATTTACAGTGCTTTCACTACCACCAAGTTAAGTCAAGAAGCATTTATTAAGCACTTACTATGTACCAGGCACTGTGAGAAAAGCAAAAACAGTAACTGCCCTCAAGGAGCTTACACTCTAATTTTTTTAATTTTATTTTTAGGCAATTGGGGTTAAGTGACTTGCCCAGGGTCACACAGCTAGTAAGTGTCAAGTGTTTGGTCTGAGGCCAGATTTGAATTCAGGTCCTCCTGACTTCAGGGCCGGTACTCTATCTACTGCACCACCTAGCTTCCCCTAGAGCTTACATTCTAAAAAGGGAGACAACATGCAGCCAAGTAGGTACAGACAAGAGAAGGGACTAGGAAAAAATCTCTTCCAGAACGTGGTGCCTAACCCGGGTCTAGAAGAAAGCTAAAGGAGCTAAAAGGTGGTGGTGAGGTGGGAGAGCAGATGGAGGTAGCGGGAGTGGCCACTAGAAGAGGCATGGGAAATGGAACACCCTGGAGGTAAGAGAGACACATTGACATTTAACAGGGGTTGGGAGTGGGGTGGCAAGAGGGTGAGATGGTCAGGCTTATACAATGGAAAAATCCCTTTTGAAGGTGAGTGGGGGGTGGACTACAGTATGAGACATTTGAAACAGGAGGTCATTTAGGCAGTAGTGGTTGGTTGTTGTCCTTCCTTCTCAAAGAGAACCAAAATGACATCACTATGCTAGAGTCAAGTTTCAGTGTGTCCAATTGTGACTGATCAGACCAACAGGAGCTCAGAATGTCCTACCGCGGGTTGGGCACAAATAGTCATTTGGTGTGGATTCTCTAAATTTGCACCTCTTGCAACTATGACATTAGTCCGAGTAAGAGGTGATGAGGGCCTCAACCAGAGTGGTGGTTGTATGGGCAGAGAAAGATGTGGTGAAGGTCAAAACAAACAAAAACATTGGCAATAGATTAGATATATGGGAATTGTTTATAATACTGTTAGATTCCTAATAAAAATTATTTGGAAATATATATATGGGGGGAGGGGGGTAGAAAGCACTAAATTTCAAGCCAGAACAGCTATTTAACCCTGGAACCTGAATTTGACTCTTGGATCTACCACATCAAGCTTATGTGATCTTGGACAAATCACTTCATCTCTTGAGGAGTCATTTTCTACATTTATAAAATGGGAAGGGGAGTTTGGATTAGTCTCTAAGGCTCCTTTCAGCTCTAAAATCCTATGGTTTACAGGAGAACATTGTATGCAGTAACATCAATATTGTAGGATGACCAACTGTGACAGACCTAGCTACTCTGATCAAGGCAATGATCCAAGATAGTTCCAAAGGACCCATGATGAAAAAATGCTATCCACCTCCAGCAAGAGAACTGATGAACTCTGAATGCAGATTGAAGTATACTTTCTAAAAATTTTTTTTTGTTGTTTTGTGTTTTCTTTTGCAATATGGCTAATATAAAATATGTTTAACAAAATTAAAATAATTCAAGAAATAAAAATCTTATGATTTACTGTTATTTCACTTTAAAAGTAGGCGTGTCTCTGAAATAATTTTTAAGGGTAAGATGATGAGTTTTGCTAAAATTTTGCTTTGAACATAGTAAGTACTTAATAAATGTTTGTTATAAAATATTACTTTAAAATTAAAGACTCCACCACTTCAGAAAATCTTAGAAGCACCTATCTAATTCAACTTCTTTATTTTAAAGATAAAAAAAACTGAGACCCATAAAGATTATGACTCCTTAATATCTAGGCATAAGTAGTTGTGTCTTCTAAATAGAGTGAAATATAATGTAGAAATAAAAAGTCAAGCATTACAGTTCACTGTACCACCTATGGTACTCAATCAATGTATACTGTTTATTAAAAAAAAATCATTTCATTATGCAATTTGTCTCCTCCCTTTCTTCCATCACCACTATCCTACTTTCCTAAGCACAGAAATTCAATTAAATTGAAGTGAGTTAAGAATACCCAAATAAACCCACAGCACCTCATATTAAGGTAAGGGAAATACAGCTAGTTTATGAAAATTTAGACTCTAATGGGGAAAAAAATTCCAGAAACCTCTAGAGTTTTTTCTTCCTGAAACTCGTTACTTAATGTGAGGCTCTTAATATGCTGCAACACTGGAGAACTGCCCAGAAAGTGTTGACAATGTGTGTGTTGTTTTCTCAAAGAAAATTAAGCAATGGCCTGGGTTAAATCACAAGCCTATTTTTTTCCCTAACAAATGTTTAAGCTTTTCAATAAAGATGAATGTAAATGATGCAGAATAAACATGATTAGGAGGTTTAGCAACCGGTGAAAGCCAATCCTAAAGATGGCTTTCATCAAATAATGTCCTTGTCACTGACAGTGGTTTTTTGTTTTTGTTTTTTTTCAGTAAAAGTCACAATGTGGAAAAAGTCTATCCCATAAATAAAGTCCTTGAAAAGAGAACAGGACTTACATTAAGATCTGTAGTGGAAAAAGATGTGAAGTAGGCATCAGAAGACCAAAGTTCTAGACCCAGCTCTGCCTTTCATTCAAAATGTGATTCTGAAAACAAGTCACTAAAACCACTCTGGGGACATCTCAGTGTCCTCATATAAAGAATAAGAAGATTGAGACAAATTAATCCCCAATACCTCTTACAGTTCGAAGTATTCTATGATTATTTTATTATCAGTTAAAAATAAACAGCATGCTCAAATTCAATTTTTTCACCATAAATGAAACTTCTATCCTAAATTTATAGCATACACACCCCCACTGAATGCCTATTTACTCCTTTTGTAATATAAGATAATAGAGAGTAATAAAGCTAATGTATTTGTACCTCCTGGCTCAGTTTCTGGCACAGAATAGGTGCCTAATAAAATTTTTTTTATTGTCGTGGTTATAAGAATTAAGTACAAATTAATCCTCTAATCTACCTTCTCATTAATCAGTCAGGGATTTTTCTCATTTCAAACATTGTAAAAACCATGAGTATTTAGCAGAGAGAATAAATTATGGAATAACTTCCTTTAAAAAGCTATAGTTTGCTTTATTTCAATTCAACAAACATTTACCAAGCTCCTACTTTGTGCAAAGCACTGAAATAGGCATGAGGAATGAAAAGAAACTATGAGACTAAATTTTGCACATAGTAATATTAAAAAGAGTTTGTGGAAATACGTTTAGATTCTTAGAAGGATCAGTGATGGGCTTAAACGGATAAAGTTGTAAACATGAATATAGTATAATTCACACATTTAGTATATCTCAGAAAAAAAGAATTCATTGAAACTACTGATAAAACTAAAACAAAGTTGAAATCAGAAAAAAAAAAACAAAGATTTTCCTGGTTCAGATGTTTAGATTAATTGGCATGCTATATTATGTAACAACATTCATGAAAAAAATATATATATACCAAGTAACTACAATGTATAAGGAAGCCATTACTAGCAAAGATGAATAAAAGTTACTGTCTTTCAAAAGCTTATGATAATAATAGGAATATAGATGAAAGATACGCCAGCCCATTCCATTTTCCAAATTGATTTAATTGTAAGAGGATTCTTCCTTATATTAAAACACAGTCTCTTTCCTTCAAACTTCTACCCATTCATGCTAGCCACACAGAACAAGCCCAACTCTTCTTCCACAAGACAGATTTTTCCAAGTATATGAGAAAACTATATCTTTCCTGTCTTTTCCTGAGGGTACACTTTTGAAGTCCAGCCTTTCAACCTCTCCTCAACTTTCTTTTTTTTGGGGGGGGGGGTTAGGCAATCAGGGTTAAATGACTTGCCCAGGGTCACGCAGCTAGTAAATGTCAAGTGTCTGAGGCCAGATTTGAACTCAGGTCCTCCTGACTCCAAGGCTGGAGCTCTATCCACTATGCCACCTAGCTGGCCTTCAACTTTCTAAATAAATAATCATACATTATAGGAAAAAAGAAGTAGAAGTGATTCAATATTGTATTTTTGCTCAGTTTTCTATAATTGAAACAAGCCTCCTCCATTAAATAGGCACAACTGTTTCCCTAGTAGCAGCTATGCAAAATGCAGACATAGTCAATAAACATTTATTAGTCCCTGCTATGTGCCAAGTACTGTACTAAGTGCTGGAGATTCGAAAATAGGCAAAAAAGAGACCCTGCCCTCAAAAAACTCACAATCTAATGAAGGAAAAGATAAGGAAATGGATATGTACAAACAAACAACATGCAGGATAAACAATAAATAATTAGGAGACAGAAAGGCACTAATTAAAAGGGGTTGGCAAAGGTTTCCTTAGAAGTTGGGATCTTAGTTGGGACGTAAAGGAAGCCAGAGAAACCAGTAGGTGGAGATGAGGAGGGAGAGAATTCCAAGCATGGAGGGCAGCCAGAGAAAATGCCCCAAGTGTTCTGCTCATGGAACAACAAGGAGGCCAGTGTCACTGGATCAAAAAGGACATGGCAGGGAGAGAAGTGTAAGAAGACTGAAAAAGTGGGGAAGGGGAGACCTAGGTTATGAAGGGTTTTGAACATCAAATAGAGTATTTTATGTTGGATCTTGGAGGTGAGAGGGA